AAATTGATCAACGTTGACAACTTTAACAACTCTGTCAACTTCGTCAACTTTGTCAACTATGTCGATCATTTTGATCACATGACTTATCCGTAGCGCAGTCACGGATCACGGTTTCATCGTCAAATGTCGATTTAAATTATGATTAGGGAACTATTTACCCGCCCCGATTTTTGATCTTGTATTATGGATGAAGAAAATGTTTTGAGTAAATTTCCGATAATAAATTAAAAAAAAAAATAAAAATTGTTTTGGACTATCGTGAGAGATGATTGGTTGCTTTAAAAGAAAATATTCAAATCATATGTGTTAGGTTATTACCGAATCACTTTTTTTCGTCACAACATTTGACGAATTTCGATTTAAAATTGCTGTACCTCAATGTTGATTTATTTTGTGGCAACGAGGCTTTTTAAAATATTTGACTAAGAAAGCAATCAAGAATCTCACATACAGAGTAGACACACCATAAAATATATTATAAAAATGTGAGTAATTGCGTCATTATCATCAAAAGTCAAGTAGAACGTATGCAGTCGTTTGTGTATTGACTTTGGCCACGATGAGCTTTCGATTCGTTGATTTCGTGCACCCTATTTACCATTTAAACTTCCAGGGTTATGGAAGATATGGGAAACAGGGAAGAACGTTCACAGAAAGAACAAGAGCACTCTCAGGAGTAAATAAATACGCCAAGAATTTATAGTTTCTACAATTTTTACGAAGGAAGATGCATAACCAATTCTTCATTACGAACCAGTTGTCCTTCCTCATAGAAATCGCTTCATGGTTTTTCATTCCACTGGCCTCCACTCAACTATGGCCACGAAGAGCTTTAAATTCCAAGATTATTTTTACACTAGAGCACCTTCGAATACACAACGACTCGACAAATAGCTCAGTAAGACTGCTCATCCTTTATTCAGCTCTTCCTTCCTTTACACAGAAGATGAAATTTTTAGAATGTTTAAATAGAAATGTTTCAATCTCTACGACTTGGTTTTTATCGTCCGTTTTTCTAATTTTTCTTTTCAATAGTTCGACGTTGATGTAATTAAAGATAATTTTTCGTCAAACGAACGGGATGAATTTTTCAAAAAAAAAAGAGATTTTTCCTTTTTATATTCCCACATATCTTGTTTCACTATAACTAGTGTTGTATTCCGGTGATTAGTCGATCTAAACGGGCTAGTAATATAGTCACGGGAGTAAGTCATAGTTTTGTTTTTACGTTGTTACTTTTAATAAACTGATGACAGTACCATATCGTTAAAAAAAAAAAAAGAAAGAAAAAAAAAAAAACTAGTGTTGTATTTCAGTTCTTTCTTTCATGTATTTATAAACAATTTAAAATATAAGCAGAAGATGTTATTGAGTAAAAATGAAGTAATGTTGACGCTAAATTTATTTAATATTAATCAGTGTTGCCTCAACATCGGCGCTCTATACTTTCATGTTAATATATAAACTAATAACTGCCAATCAATAAATCTTTATTTAATTAAACAACGCAATTACGGAAATTTAAAAAATAAACGAAATTACAAATATAAATTAAAATGTTAAAACGCGAAAATGAAAATATCGCGAAAGGATAAAGGAAGGTTTTTTAAGGTGTATACATGCAAATAAAAGAGGCGAGCGTGGAATGATGAGCTTTTTAAGGATTTCCAGCTCGTATTTATAAAAAAATAATTATTAGGAAAGCCTGGCATCCTAACAACCTTGGCACTGGAAAAATGATCTTCAAGCGAATTTCGAAAACAATTTACGAAATTATGGTTATTTTGAGAAATTTGTTAATATATGCATATGATAATTTTCGAATTTGTTGCATTAATCCATTAATTTTTTGTTATTGAATTTTGAAATCTTGATGTCGTAAGTTTGTATATAATTCAATATTTTATATTTTCGTACTGCAACATATTTTGATGTATGTCCATAATCACATGTATTTTACAAAATTATTAAGCCTTTTTCTTTGTTGCTATTTTGATAAAATAAAATTGTTTTTAAATTTCTATATTTTAGACGTTTTAAATGTTAAATGTGAAGCTTAGAATAATATTAAATTGTTATATTAAGGAAAAAAAATGATTACTAAGAAAAATGAATTTTATTGTCGGTTCCTTTTTTATCACTAGTGTTAGCGTTAGTTATTTCGCCGATCTCAGGGATCACTGCTCCGCCGTGATCTCTCTGATTTCGCTATTACATATTTTGTATAGGACAACTTTGCATCACTTTCGTCATCTTTTTTTATATGTTCTAAAATACTTTAACCATAAGATCTATAATAAAATTACATCCTCCAAACTTATTCATCATAATAGTACGCATAGATTGTTATTTGGAAATAAATTAATTAAAAACTTTTAATTCGATTCAAATACTCGGTTTGATTCGGTATTACATAAATCCGGATGCAACCGGGTTGGATGTTTGACTTAGGCCTAATCCTGTTTTTAAAAACAAAACCGGTTCTAACCTCTACTAAGAGCCATCCTAAAAAAGATTTTAATGTCAATTTTATTAGCACAATTTTTCTTGTGTAGTTGATTATCACAGTCAATGTCTTTATGGGACGCGATAAAGGATTGAAGGTTAAGATAGGAATATTTTCAATTATAGGATTTCGGAAGTCTTAACTCTCCACAATCAAGCCGGACTTTTTTGATATTGAAAATAATTAATGAAATAAAAACAACAATTTACCAAAATTATCCTTATAATTATTATCGTTATACAACCTATATTAAATTTAAAATTATGTTATCGGAAATTGAAAATTGACGATACAAATACGTCTAATGATTAAATGATGCAGTTTACTTTATGGACATAGCCAAGATTTTAATTTATGTATATTTGTGATATATATTGACATTGCGAAATTGTAAGCGCCAATCAACACTGATTAATTTGATATTATTAAATAAATATTTTGTCATAATTACTTTATTTTTATTCTATTAATACCTTCTGCTTACATTACTAAATTGTTTATAAATAAATAAACGAAAGAACTGAATACAACAGTAGTTGGAAATTTTTGTCGTGCTTTTTTGGGGGAAATGATCTGCATCAAATTTCATTTGTCACAGCCTATACAAATACGGCTCGGCTAAATAAATAATGAGTTATTGGTTTGGTTATCCGACATAAACAATAACGATAATAACCAATAACTAAGTTATTGCGTCAGTCACACACGATCATGCTTTAAATTATATTTAGCCGTTGGCAAAAAATATCAGTCAAGACCCTAATAGACTGACCGTAAAATTCATAATTTATAATTGACAATTTAACACTTGAAAATAACAAATTCAGCGGTTTCTAATGCTTATATTATTATTTTTTATAGCGGATAATGTGAATTATACTATTTTTCGCTATAAGCTTTGGAAAGGCACTATCTTACATAGTGAATGCAGAATGACAGCTAATGCATGAAATAAAAACAACATGATTAATGTTTTGGGATTTAAAATTACTCCATGATTTTCTCAAAGTGAGTTAATTACATATCGATTATTTAAACCAATTTTAAATGGCCGTCCACATGAAAGTTACAAACATACTAAATTTAAAATCATTATGATTAGTTGTTAACAAAAATTTGCATTGCTGTAATTCCAAACCTAAGATTTTGATTTTTAAATTAAAAAATAACACGCGGTCAGACAATGCATTACAAAAGTATTTTCCCGCTCAATTTTTTCCCTGCATTAAAGAAAATTTTCTAGAAAATCGTTTTATTAATTTGTAAATTAAATTTTGTGATACACAACATTTCTTGGGATCGTGAGCTGTAATGTGGTGTCAACTGTGGCACTAACTATTATTTATATGATTTTTGTACTCTAAATAAAGGCGCATTTTCGTTTTGAGAGATTTAATTATATAATTATATACGCCACTCCAGTAAATATTATAAATAAGCTTCGTCGGCAAGTTGATTTTTTTCACCCACAAAAAAAAAAAATTTTATTTTTGTTTATATAAAAAAAAAAAAAGTATTAACATTAATAGTTCATTAGAAAAATGGTTCAAAATGATCAATATCCCATTAACTATAAAGAACCTCGAACCGAAACTTATGAAGGCAAGGATCAATTTGAATGTAAGTGTGTTGAATGGATTAGAGATTTTGGCGATTTTAATTCATCTAATTTAAATCATTAATAAAATTATTTTTTTTTATTTAATCTTATTTATAGTTAATTGTGGAAAAAAAATAAAAAATTTCCTTTCCTGGCGTATGAACTCTATAAAAGCTAATATCAAGATGATCAAGAAGATGAAGAGAAAACATCAGATGCAAATATCGAAAACATTTTACACACAAAGTTATGGAGTTTCCAGGCGAAATTATAATATATTTAAATGAACAGTTAGTCATTTTGCCAGGTTGTCAAGGTGCAAGGTTGTCACGGTGCCAGATTGTTACGATGCCAGATTGGCAGGATGATAAAATAGCAAGGAAATCAGGCTGTCTTAATTCATGCCGGAAATCCTTAAACAGCTCAATATACCACGTTCGCCCCTTCTTGTATTTACATACATACACGTTAAAAAACCTTCCTTTAATCCCTTCGCGATATTTTCGCTTTCGCCGTTTTAACATTTTAATTTTATATTTGTAAATATGTTTTTTTTTAATTTCCAAATTTTCTTATTATTAAATCACTCAATTTTATTATTTGCATAGTTTTGATTAAATAGCATTTTAGTGATTGGCATTTATTTAGTTTAATGTATTGACATTGCGAAAATGTAGAGCGCCGACATTGAGGCAACACTGATTAATTTAATATTATTAAATAAATTTAACGTCAACATTACTTCATTTTACTCAATAAAAATCTTCTGCTTACACTTAAAATTGCTTATAAATACATAAACGAAAGAACTGAATACAACACTATTCAGATTATTACGTCAATTACCTCTAACTTTCGACAAATTTCGAAATTCGAAATTAAATTATGAAAATAAGACAATTTACGAACATTTGAGTAAGACATAATTTCTAAAAATAAATTGCCTTTTATATTCATAAATGCATAATATTTTAATTTCATTTGTTCACTTCACTTGTAAATAGTTTTTAGAACATCATGCATTAAAAGCATCTAGATCATAAATAAAATAGAGATTATTTAATTAGATTAAAAATTATTTGACAAAATTAAAATATTTTACTCTTTATGACAGGTTTATGCAGAATAAAAAATTTCACCAATAATGATTAAACTATTTTCATAAAATTGTATTGACATGTTTCGTAACATGTTTATTACTTTTTTTTGCGTTTTTTAATATAACTTTTTGTAAAGAAAAAAAAAAAGTAAAGTAAAGAAAATGTCTGCAAAGTGATTTACGGGTCGGGTATTATTAATTTTTTTATTTTAAAAATATCTCTAAATTCTAATTATGAATTTCTTTTTACATCTATTGTGTATAAAAATATCGTTATAATTTTTGGACGTTTCTTTAAAACTACTTGTTCAACTACAATAAGTGGAGGTGCTACAAATGCATATTATTGGACAATAATTTATTTACTATTATTAATGTTTGTTTACCTACATCATTGGTATGACATATGCGGGTCGGAACAATAAACATTATATATTAAATTTTTGGTAAGTGCGTGTATATGATATTACGGATTTATACCAATTATTAGTTCCGGTCAGTATTACAAACAAATTAAACAAATGATAATACATCACGTGAAATGAATTTGGCGCAGTATATTTTATCCGTATTGTAGGGTTGCTTCTCAAAATTTTAATTTTTTTTTTTTGCAAGATTCAAATACTATTTTATTAAATGGTGGTCGGAAAACCGAAGAAAAAAATTTTAGAAGACTTGTATAGGTAATTGAGGAAAAAAAATCATGGTTCAAAAACGAAATTGTGAGCACTTTCGTTTATTATTATTTAGTAAAAGAGCTGTGATCAATTAATAAAATATAATGATAATATCGAAAAGAAGTGAAGAATTTGTTAACGTTATTCAGCCAAAACACTAAAATTTATTTTTGAAGAGATTTTTTAAATCTAACATTTTCTTTTGTAGATCGGACCTTTCAGAGAAATATTTTTTTTTTAGTTTGATAAAAAAGATTATTTTGGTTTTGAATAATAATTAATTTTTTTTTTATTGCGTAACCGAAAATTGTAGTTAAGAAGAGATATCGAAACTAGAGAGTATTTCGAGTGGGTTTTTATAATTAAATTGTTGAGAATAAAATTCCAGATTTAACCCGTATTTTACTTGATTACCGGCAAGGATAAATCTTTGATGAATCTACAAAAACTTTATAATTATAATCAATACAGGGTAAAGTTGAAAAATTCACAAGTACAATTTTCAAAAATTTAATGAAAACTATTAAAAAAAATGTGTTAAAATAATATCTTAAAATGGATAGTTTGAGAAATTTGTAATGAAGGTTTTGTTTTATTTAAGCACAGCACATGATTGATTTTCTAGTTTTCTTAAAATTCTTTGTGAAAAATTATTTGGTTTTCAATCAAATGACAAACATCATGAATAATTTATTCAATTTAGTTTTAAAGAAGAAATTAGAAAGAAAGTAACTAGAAATACTGAAGAAAACAAATTCGGAGGCGTAAAATATTTGCTTTCGTTTCATTCCGTTTATAATAAAAAAAGTACAAACAGCAAAGTACATTATATTGGATAAATTAAATTTAAATGTATACAAAAAGTTGCAAATGCGGCGGCATAAGCTACTTTCTATATGGAATGATAACGTAAAATAAATACCAACATAAAAAAATTTTAAATTATGATTTCCAACTAATTGATGAGATTGTAATTCTAAAATATTACAGTAATTGGACGAGTGGAAATGAACATATTGATAAATTTATCCAGGAAACTCAATTAAATGCAAGAAATGAATTTCAATTATTTGAATGGATCCCTTATCTTTTAAAATATATAAAATATCTCGCTAGTGGTGAAGAAAGATCATGGGAACGTGGAAAAGGGGGTCATTAAGGATGTAGCTCTCAAGAGTATAAACGATCCTTCAAATATTCAAGAATTTTTGAATGAAGATTCTCAATTTACGATTTATTATTATTATTGTTAAATGTACTAGCTTTTGATTAAATTTGAATCTCTAGTGGAATACATATTTATAATTCATGTATTCATTTAGAAAATAATGCGTCTTTCTCATCTTTATGGAATAACTAAAGATCCTACAACGTTGAATTTTATGATCTTATTAAAAGAAATGAAAGTTAGCTTAAGATCTAACCTCATAATATACAAAAATATAATCCGAGCGATAAATGTGGTAAATTACTTCACATTGCAACGTCACTATCTGAAGTAATTTATTTTATGAGGATTTTCATAAGATGATACCTACTTTACAAGTGATTTAGGATTGAGAAGATCACCTGATCACTCGAATAATGTGATGCGATCTTTAGAGTAGTTCCTTAGAGGTTTTGCTTGGCAAGCCATATACCAAAGCTTCAGACATATATTCTTCATGCGGGATTCACATATTGCTCATGATTTCCAATTATCTATAGAGATTTTTCAAGGTCTAAGACAAAAAATAACAATTCTGATTATGTAGAGTTGATCCAAACAAACGACCTAGTGCTGAAGATTTGATACCAAAATTCAAAATATTGGTTAAAATATATTCATATACTTGCACCAGGTAATGCTTTATGCAATTTTTTTAAAAAAATCAATGGTAAGAATTTATATTATTATCGTAGAACTGAACATACCATTCAAATCATTCATCATCTTGCTATACAAGCGATTATTAAACCCTAATTACAAATACTTCAATAAAAGTTACCAAAATTTTTCATCAGCTCTATTGTTGTAATCAGTCCTTTCGTTTTTGCATTTATAAACAATTTGTAATATAAGCAGAAGATTTTCATTGAGTTAATATTGAAAATGAAGTAATGTTGACGCTATATTTATTTAGTAATATCAAATTAATCAGTGTTGAATCAACGCCGGCGCTCTACACTTTCGCAATGTCAATATATTAAACTTAATAAATATCAATCAATAAAACTCGACTTAATTAAAATTGAATCATAAAATGATAAGAAAATCGGGATTAAAAAATGAACGAAGTTACAATAATAAATTGTAATTTCTGATTTAATGCAATATTTAACTTATGCGCGCGCGAATTTTTTATTAAAAATATATTTGAATGTTTATTACATCAAAAGGTATAAAATATATAAAAAAATAAAATATTTAAAATATTTATATTAGCGAATTAGGTAAGGAAGTCATCAGATCATTTCGTATATATGTTTTGTTCACTGAATATCTTATAAGGAATTTGTATATATGGTAAGCTAATTATTTGAAGATAACCGCAGGAAAAAGTTGCTAATTAGTTTGTCGTTAATTCAAAAATGTTGTCATTTACTTACCCTTATTAGAATCTAAGTTGGTATTTTTTCTACTTCCATCTAAGTAATAAAAATAAATTAATAGATTCGTCAAAATTCAATTACTTAATACGCTGACGATTTATTTATACTATTTTACCGTTAATTATTTGACTTTTCGAATGTTCTTTAGATTTTAAAGAGATGATTGCACCACTTTTATATATAGTACTGTCTAAATCATTTTTTATGATAAGTCCAATATCAGGTGATTTTATCATTTTTGTTGGCGACTTTACTTCTTTCAAAATGATTACATCAATAATATAACAAATATTAGAAGCTGTTGGTCTTTTATTTGGATCCGAATCCCAACATTGTTGTATTAATTCAATATAACCATCAGGTGCATTTGTAACAATTGGAGGACGATCACCATCAATAATTCGAACCATAAGTTCTGTATCTGTATCATAGACTTGATCCCAAAAAGGTGTTCTACCAGTCATTAGCCCTGTTCATTTCTATTCCGTTCCGATCTGATCCGATTTTCACAAAACTTTTTTTAGCCAATCAAAAATCTGTAAATTGAGCAGAAAAATCGGAGTTATGATCTGTTCCGTTCCGTCCAATTTTTTTCTTTTTATAATTATGTCTAAAAAGGATATCGAATATGCTTTAATATTATTAACATACAGGATTTAAATGACTCTTTTGACTCTTATAACGATGATGAATTAGATAATGATAATAATTTAATAAAAGAGACACTTCTTTCTTTATCCTCTTCACGTTACCTTGTTCCCCGAAATCATGTTCTTAATTCTCAACATTGGTATCATGAAATCTTACCATTATATGATGATATACGGTTTAAAAAAGTTTTACGAATGGAAAGAACAACAGTTTAACAAGCTAGTGCAAGTTTTACAGAACGATACAGTTTTTCAATACAAAGGAAATAAGCCACAAGCACCAGTTGAATTTCAATTAGTAATATTTCTTAGGCGTTTAGGTTCTAAAGATGATATTTAAAGTATTTGTTCTCGATTTGGAATATGTGAAGTGAAGGTACTGTAATTCTTTATATTAACTGTGTAATGAAGGTCATTAGAAATAAAAAGTTGGAGTTTATTCAATAGCCTAAGAATAATAATCGAGGATTTCAAACTATTGGGGGGTTTCAGAATGTTATGGAGCAATAGATGGGACTCATTTTATTTTAAATGAGGCACCTGCATAAAATCCAACAGTATTTTTTACAAGAAAAAAAAGATATGCGATTCATTGTCAAGAAATCATTGATTTTAAAGGAATTTTTATTAATTATATAATAGGATGGCCAGGATCAGTACATAATGCACGAGTTTATGCTAATTCAGATTTTTTTCTTAATAAAGCAAAATATATTAAAGGAGATGATTATGTGTTAGGTGATTCAGCATATCCAATCTCCCCCTTTTTAATTACTCCTTTTAAAAATTCTTTTAATCATCGGCAACATTAATTTAACTTTATTCATTTAAAATATAAAGTTGTTGTAGAAAATGCCTTTCATAGATTAAAGGTTAGATTCAAAGCATTAAAAGAATTATCTGTAAAAGATGTAAAGATAGCAATTAAATTAGCAAATTGTGGTATATTATTATATAACTTTCTTGAAATTTGTGAGAAAATTTGGAAGATTGCCGATCAAAATAATAATGATAATGATGATCAATATGATTGGAAAGATAAAAGTGATGAAATTTTAAAATTAGAAAAAGAACTTAAAAGAGAAAGAATGTTAAATCATTTGTAACATAACAAGTAATCAATAAACAAATTTTACAAGAAAAATATTTTATATATAACAAATTTATTTAATTATATAAGTTAAACTTCATAATCTAAACAAAATTTTTATTTATTATTTTTGTGAAATTTTAACATTTCCAATTCTAATTTAACCTTCTCATTTTCAGCTGCAATTTTTTTATTTCTAACTTACTTTTTTTCAACTCATATTGCTAACTTAATTTCTTTTCCTCCAATTCAAATTTCTTTTGACTTTCACATTCCTCTAAATTTAGTTTTTTTTCATAAAATCTATCTCTTGATTCTCCCATTGCTATAATTACCTCAGATATACTTTCAATTCCTGCTGAATTTTTTTTTTTATTGTAATTAATCAGCTTTATAATTTTTTTTATTATTTAAATTTTCGCTATCAGAATTAGAAAAATATCTGAAGTTGAATCTGTAATATAATCTGGGTTAATAGCTTTACTCTATGATAAAATTTCTTCCATTTCTGAGAACCAAATCTATTCTACACTACCTTTACCAGTAGAATTAGCTTTTTTCTTTTTTTGTAAATATATTTTATACAATTTTTCAATCTTATTTCTAATTTGATTAAGAGTATGATCTGATAACATATTTTCACTTATAATTTTTGATAAACCTTCACCTTTCCTATTTTTTTTCTTCAAAATTTTCTTTCTAAATTTCTAACAATATTTCAATTTTCTATCTGTTCACTTGATACCATCATCATTTGATTTAAACTTTTTTTTTTAAGACCTGCTTTTTACATTTAGTACCTTTAAATAATGGCTAAAAGTAATTATAAAAAGGTAAGTCTTAATTTGTAGAAATTTGATTAAATGCATTTATAAATAAAATCTTTACCATAAAGACTTCAATTTTTTGTAGTTCTATTAAGTAGTTTTTGCTTTCAACTAATTGTAGATGAAATATATTAAAATAAAGTAAATAAAATTAATATTAAATAAAAAAAAATAAATATAAACCTCTTCAGTAAGTTCAGTAGAATCCTCAGAAAGGTTAATAATCATTTGACTTGCTTCTTTACAAGTAATGTTAGTTCAATAAGCAAGTTACTTTATTCTGATATGGCTCATTTTGAACATTTATTAATATAGCATTTTACATTTGTATTTATGTTTTTATATTTATAGACATCATTTTTTCGTATTTTTAGAAATCAATATTAATAAATTTAAATGATTTAAAGCATAAAACTAATACTTTAAATGGTTCATTTCAGTCTGGATTATAGGCCAATCTGAAACTGAACTGAAAATTTCAGTTCAGTTTAGTTCAGATTATAAATTTTAAAAATGCCAATCTGAAACTGAACTAAACCAGAAATTGGTAAAAATCCAAACTGAACCAAAAATTTCAGATTAATCCAAAATTGCAGATTATTTAGAACAATTCTTTTATCATTCATTTAAAATGATAACTTCAATCATTTTAAATGAATGATTCTTTTATTGTTCTTTTGGAATGATAATTTAATTATTCCAATTGAACGATTTTCTTATTATTTATTTAGAATAATAACTTCAATCATTTTAAATGAATGATTCTTTTATCGTTCATTTAGAATAATAACTTCAAACTTTCTAAATAAACAATTCTTTTATCATTCATTTAGAACAAAAATTTAATTGTTCTAATCGAATGATTTTCTTATTGTTCATTTGAAACAATAATTTTAATCATTCTAAACAATCTGAAATTTCAGATTAATCCAAAATCTTTGGTTCAATTTGGATTTTTTTTGGTTCAGATTAGATTAATAATCTGAAAAAATCTGAACTGAACTGAAAATATTCAAATTGAATTTTTTGCAATCTGAAACTGAACTAAAGTTGATCTGATCGAAAATATTTAGATCAATTTGAACTGTTCAGAGCTTTACATAAAACTGCAAAAAATACATATTCAGAACACTTGAATTATCAATTTTTTTGATCTATTGATCTGATCTTTGATCTGATTTTAAAATGAGTTTGATTGGCTAAAAAATTTGTGAAAATCAGAACAGAACAGAATAAAATAGAAATAAACAGGACTATTAATTTCCACACAATCATACCAAAGATATATATATTTGAAGTATTAATAAATTTATTATATTTTTAGTCTTAAAAAATTTTTGAAGGAATATAAGGTAAAATCTCATAATACTCAACATCTTTTTTTGAAGATTCAGTTGATTTACTAATTTCTAAATCACTAATTATAATATCATATTCATTTTCACAAAAAATAAAAATCTTGATAAATAATATTATTTTAATGATAAATATATGTAAGTCTATTTACATTTGCTTTAGCATACCTAATTTTTTATTTTATTCAAGATT